CGTAAGGCCACCAAAATTGCTTTAGGGCTTTCATTCACGTCTTCCACTGTGAAACTACAGAAAATGGGCGTGCACAATACCTGGCAAGAACTAGCCGAACCCCACAGGGCTAGCCTGCTAGAACGACTGATCATGTCGCCCACTGGAAGATCAGTGCTGCAACGGCTGAACTATAGCGAAACGCTTATGGGCGACACAGACGCGAACCGAAAAGAACGTATTCCGCCAAACATCCGTGAATCTTTCGGTACTGCACGAATCCTACGCAATATGGACCCCACACATCACAAGGAAAAAAAAGGCACGAGCTAATGCTCTACGGCGAAATCACAGCCAAAATCCAGACGCCAGATATACAGACGCAGCCAGCTATCCTGGTAGAGACGCCTACGCTATGAGCGTCGTTCATAGTCGGGTTGTAGAGCTCGCATCTGCCACAGTACGCACCTGATGCCCAGAAACTGCAGAGGAGGCGGCGATTGCCCTAGTTACCACAACGTGCTTGGATGCAGCTGTGGTATTTACAGACTCTCAACCAGCCGTGCGAAACTACAGCAAAGGTCGTGTGTCTACCCAAGCAATTCAGATATTGAAGCGCCGAAGCACTCCAATGCCGTTCATCTGTGTGACATGGGTTCCTGAGCACGGAGGGCTGGAGCGAGACGAGGCGGCTCATGCCACGGCCCTCGATCACGCCTACCGGGCCCCCCCTTTTCGCTTTCTAAACGCCAGGACTGTGTCCGTGGAGGCTGAGTCGTTACCTAAGACTTACTCTGCAATAGTGCCACATCATAGGCTGGCGCGCAGAGAGTATCCGCCACCGCACTCGAAGCTCAACAAAGAGGACAGCACCATACCGAGAAGACTGCAGAGCGACACGTACACACACGGCATACTAATGCACCGATTGTACCCAACATTACACGAATATGTTTGCCCGATTGGCGCTGTACCTGACACGTTGGCTCACTTGATCTTCGAGTGTAAATGCAATAAAAATACAGATCTATCGCCTTCGCCGAACACCAATGATGCTGGTGAAGAAAACGAACACCTTCTCGAAACGTGGGAGGCCAAGCTCACCTTAGAGGACCTGGACCTACAACGACGTCTTGTCGCCAGGACCAAGGATGCAGCGAAGGCCAGAGGGTTCCTGGAATGAGGAGACCTCCCACCTAAGGTGAACGCGGAACCTACACCGCTACACCATCTCGAAAATAAACGTTTATTTCTCCCCCTCCTCCTCTCACATGGCCCTGGGATGGGGGGGGGGAGACATACCGGGCGAGACGTATGTATTATAATGGGTTGATGAATTACGTGAGACTCTGAGACACAGCACTTCCAGGCGCCGCGTCTCCTTCCTATCTGACAACGCCACGTATCCTAAGAAAGACTATCGTCTTAAAAAAAAACGCCGAGTTCTGCTTCATTTCGTTGTATAATCACACTAAGCATTCCGGAACGACAGTTTTACCTTCGGTTTTCATAGTGTTTTCAGCGCGGCGACAACTTCCCTTGTATTTTTTGAAATTAATTCCTCCACAAGGACCTTGCTATATAAAGTGAGTTTAGGTGAGTGAGTGTTTTCTAGAGTGCTACCGCGAATATTCTGCAGCTTCATGAACCAATCCACGAACATATAGCGAAATGTCGATTGCGTTCAGATTTTGAAGTGTAGACAATCTTTTTTAAGCAGAATTAGCTGAACCACTCATTTCCACGAAGTTTACCCATTAAACATACGGGTATAGGTTTCATTTGTTATTGGCAAAAGGTTGAAGTGACAGTAGGACGGAAACCTGTCTGGTCAGTAACAGACGCGGAAACAATAAAAACAAGACGCTGAAAACAACAAAAAAAACAAATAAAAGCAAGACGTTTCGGCTTCATCATATAATCTATGATAATCCTGACAACGGCGCACACAATATATCGCAGTGCCGGCAGCTTCTAACACGTGTACATACGTTGTTAGTAGTGTGTTAGTATGCATGAATTCACTGCTAACGCACTGAATTTTCATTTGGGAACAAGTTTCCAGTACGGCAGCTGAAACACCTGGCTGTATTTGCTTTTTTGTCGTCAGCGCCTTGTTTTACTTGTCTTCATGACAATAGCTTTCATGTGAATGTTATTAAGGGTTATTTTTGTGACTTTACTGATATTTTTCAGCGTTAAAGTGGGCGAAGTTCCGCTTAACTGGCTATTCCAAAATGGCAGAATCTTGAAACACAATATTGTGCTATATTTTTGCTTCTCAGTAAAGACAAGACGAATTAGATTTGACATATATGCAATATGATGAATTATTTGCTGCCATATCTACATTTCACCAAGGTAATATACCGAGGTGCACTGTGAAGTACACTCCGAAACGTCGCTGTTTGGCTGCATTTCCTCATTGTATTGACCTTGTAATTCCTGGATACTGGAATGCGGAAGACGCACCAATGAACCAGCTTAAGTTGCCCGTGACGCCGTTTTAAAACTTTCTTCGCGCATAGTTGTAACTGTGGTGTAGTATATTTCTGATCTTCACTTGTTTTTTTTTTCACACAAACCGTAATAATAGGTTCCTTGTTCCTTCCTTTAATGCTTAAATAAGTTAGTTAAATATCTGCACTGGAGCCTTTTTGTGATTTTGCACTTTTAGCAACGAGACAACTACCAATTTATAAGCAGTGACTGCGAAAGCTAGCCAACGAACCTGAAAACGACCAAAGGTGTGTCAGTGTACGCTGCTTTTGATCTGAGGCCTATGGTACCAAAACGCGTGCAATATGCGCATCAGAAAGGGGAAGAGGCCTACACTGGTACTTTCGCAGGAGTGCTTGGCAGGGTAGTGAAACATGTTGTTTTTTGTATGGAAGATTTCCTTACAATGTGGTACCTAACCACTTTCAAAACCAAGCAACAAGAAAACAAAAAAAATGAGGGGGCGTGCAGGCGAGCGCAATGTGTGCCGTAGTTTGGAAATTAGACACTGCTGCAATACTCATCTGGATTTAGTTGTATTTGCAGGGAACGTATTTGCCTACCGATTTTTTCACACATTACACTTCTTAACATCCCTGCCTTTCCTTTCCTTCCTATTCTTTACATTCTTTCTGCCTTCCTCACGGCACCTCTAACTGAATGTAATTATCCGGGTGGACATTTCCTTTAAACATCTGATTTCTAGCGCTGAAACAACATTCATTGTGTGAGTGTCATCGTCATGTGTTCTCCAATTCTTAAAATCTTTTGTAGACACTCAAGCAACAACCACTCTTGCAATCACCAGAAAATATTGCAACAGTGAACTAGTTTACCATGAAAACTTGAATGCTTCGTAATCATATTCAACATTAGGTTCTTCATATTTTCTCTTTATATTATGAAGCTACGTATACTGAGCTCCTTACACTGCCTTCAATTTTAGAAAAAAAAAAACTTGTCTAATTTTTTATGCATACTGTCTGTGTTCTATATAGGTGTATGTTCAGAACAGTGCCGAGATGTTTGGTTACTGCTAATAACTCCGTATCTGGCGGCATCATAGGTGTGGCTGATGGATTCAGGAATTTTAATTGATCAATCTTTAGTGAATTTTCGCCTATTTGGGACTAATTCACGACGAAGCCTTACCAAATGAACTCCATATTCTCCACTCCTGCTGCTTGTCCTCTAGTCCACTATACTCCCTTCTTATCTGTCAAAATGGTGCAAATAATTTTTTATGCCATCACAGAAAGCGTCGCTGTTGACCTCCCGAGTCTCTCATATCTTTCGTTGTTTCCGTCCCATGTCTTGCAATTGGCAGCATGCGACGTTTCTTTCGCATTGAGCTGTAAGGACAGCGGTTTCCCGTCATAATAACCTGTCATAATTTGATAACATCTTCTATAAACGCTACAGCACGTTGTCATTCTTCGGTAGATTTCATTTTCGTCAGTAGCCTTGTCTGTGACCAGTTGCCCTAAGCACACATGCGCAAGTACAGATTTCAAAGATAGTGGTCAATCTTAAGCAGTTTCTTTTTCGGCAGGCTATTATCTTTGTGATACGCACACCCTGCTTTGGGGCTTTTACGTTTAGGTCTTCAGTCGCCAATGAAAAGCACCTAGCTGTGTACAAATAATTTGTTGCTACGATATTCTCCTTAAATATTGATTGATTGATATGTGGGGTTTAAAGTCCTAAAATCACCATATGATTGTGAGAGACGCCGTAGTGGAGGGCTCTGGAAATTTCGACCACCTGGGGTTCTTTAACGTGCACCGAAATCTAAGTACACGGGCCTACAACATTTCCCCCTCCATCTGAAATGCAGCCGCCGCTGCCGGGATTCGATCCCGTGACCTGCGGGTCAGCAGCCGAGTACCTTAGCCACTAACTAGACCAATGCGGCGGGACTCCTTAAATGTTTATGACAATTTTAATGTAATAAACAATTTAAACCACTTGTTCTGTGCATGTAATGCACGGCACTTCACAGAGTTTATCTCATATTCATGTTTGTTTGGTGTAACTAAGGCTGATTCACATTTCACCGCGATGGAAAGTTCTATATTGCTAGTCCGGAAACTGATCTGGGGCGTCGAGATCATGCCAACCATTTATGAGCGACTTTTGGTAGTACTACATTTTATTATTCGAATAACTACAACATAGTAACATTAGTAGCGCCAAAGACATATTCTACGTATTTTGAACCGGCCATAAGAGGGCAACTTAGTCAGCTGTACGTTACACTTCTTTCCACACTTTGCGCAAGACAGCCCGAAAAGGCTCACGGAATTCAATCGACGCCTGAAAAGCGTATGTTCGTGTACCCCGAGATATGATGTGCATTCTTCGATGGGCGCTTTGCGACGTCTAGTGGATGTCAGAGAGCGCCAGCATGTGCTTGGAGTGCGAACTTTCTTGGCGGGAGAAGGGTGTGTGAGGAGGACCGCGATCGGTGCCGCACCGTCGGCGGCGACTCCGCACAGCGACCGAGGCGCGTGTCGCACGCGTGCGTGCCTTCTCCTCCCGAGAGGCGTGCCGCCGTGTGCGCCAGCTCGATGTCGGCTATGGAGTTTCGCTTGACGGGGTACTTTCTTTTCTTGTTTGCGGGCATGGCTCGCGCCTCTCTGACGCTCAGCCCTTCTACGTGCCACGAACTCCTACTATGCGGCGGCCTTCATCGGCCGGGCTTTCATATTCGGCTGACCTTCATGTTACCGGAAAACAAAGGCGCGTACATCTCCCGTTTCACAGCTCGTGTGACCGAGCGAGGTATTCGAAATAGGCCCACGTTTCACTGAGAGTGATACGGCCACGTGAATTTTGCTGGCAGTGCCACGCTTGCTGAGGCCGTCGCAGGTTCTGAAAAGAAAATGAACTACTCAAACGGCACGATCGCTCAACCACCGACGTTGTGTGAGGAGCACTGTGATCTGCCTTCGGCGCCGGTCTTCAAACACTCGTCTCTCGTCCGAGTAGTCGTACTGTGCGTGATCGGCGCCCTGTCTCTCGCGGGCAACTCAGCAACGCTGGCTTCAATTTGGACGCATCGACGTCGGCCTTCTTCGCTCTACATGCTGCTCGCCCACCTTTCTGTGGCCGACCTCCTGGTGACGTTCTTCTGCGTGTTGGCGGAAGCCGTCTGGACGTGGACGGTGCAGTGGGTGGCCGGCGACCCGGTCTGCAAACTTATCAAGTTCCTGCAGGTATTCGCGCTCTACCTGTCGACCTTCATACTGGTGGTGATTGCATTCGACCGCTTCGCCGCCGTGCGCTTTCCCATGCGCCGTGCCAGCGCCCGGCGCACTGCCGCTCGCATGGTGTATCTCGCATGGTCCACAGCAGCACTGCTCAGCTTACCTCAGGTAGGACTCAATCAAACTGTCAAAAAATTGGCAGGTCCCACACTTAGCGCGAATCGGTTTCATGCGAAGCAGCGGGCCACGGATTGTATATGCTCCATTTTTTGGCTCTTAGCCAAGTATTGCGAGGTATATGGACGCGCTTTTGTAGGTGTAGTAGTTCTGATCTCGCCGGCAGTATCGACTATAAAGGGTAACTTGCGGTCTGACGTAACGTTGGCACCGGCGTTAGAGAAAGCATGTCAGTATTATCGAAACCAAGTCCACTTTACGATGCGATGATGTGAAGTTCATCCGGAACTTTCATGGTCCCGTTCCTTCAACGTTAGGCAGCGTAACTCTCTGAATTACTGGAATAAAAATATAATGTTTATTCATTAGCATGCTCTAAAAACGGAGTCCACACAGGAACCACAACTGAACTTAACCAAACATGAACTTTTCATGTAGAAATACGTATGCAATGCTTGTTTTTTTGTTTAAAAAATGAGACAACTAGCACTGCAACCACAACTGGCGTTGCGTGGAGAATACATAAGGTATTTTTTCATAGCTCTTTCAAAATCTGACGTAGTTCTGTGCAAATATACCAGACAAAATGCTTGAATTTGATTGCTGCTTAGCTATACATGCAAATTTGTGACAACATTCGTGGAGTCAACGATGCTATGTCTGTTTTTCTTAACACTCTCGCAATGAAAATACTGATTCCTGTTCTCTAAATTTAAAGGCTTTTTTTTCCTTCGAATGAGTGAGAGAAACAATCTTACTGGTACACAATAGGCGCAACGCGAGCTGAATTGATAGCACATCACTATGCCAACTCGAGGATGGTCAGGTTAAACCTTGTCGCACTTATAAAAACCGAAACCTACTGTACTGCTGGCTTGCCCAGTTATCCCCGTCTCCAGCGCCCACGTCTAGTTCGTCCCTTCTGCCGCTAAGGCCGTAATCTACGAGCAGCATGGAGCTAGTTAGCACCTGTCTGCTAACGTTAGCTTCAGCGTTTATGCTCATATTTCGGTCAACAGAGCATTCATATAGCCTAATTATTAGGCGTAGTTGCAAAATATTTCTTCAATGAATAATAGACCCTTTTCATAAAATACGCCATCTGATGATGAGCTTTTTGTCAGTTTCGCTTTGCAAAGGAGCGTGGGATAGCTAGCGTCATCATGAGGGCATGGAAAGCGAGCCGTCAATTGCGTGAACGCTGTGATTTTTGTGTTGACGGCTTGTTCTTTGTATCATTCGCGGCAATCGCACCCCTTTCTAGCTTGAACGTGCTCCTAGTACTCTCCGATAAGCTTTCTGAGCTGCTTCCACTGCACAATGAGCAATATTTTGTACCCTTCAAGGGGTTGGACGAGCAGTTTGGCTTGTTATGACTGGCAAGTCGTGGATCCAGCGTGCAAGAGATTTTTATCGGCGAGCCCTTCAGACGCGGTCCACGTCGTGCAGGATCACAAGAGGTGTCTGTGTGCGCTGCAAGAAACGTGCATCAGCGTCACTGGGACGCTGTCAGTAATTCTCTGACAGTAATTCTCCATTTCTCTACAGTGTTCGAGAAGCTTCAGGACTGCGGTAGATCATTTTGTGAAGATTACGCCTACTTCGTCAACATTACAGATTAGTCTCAAACCTACGTCACCGCTAGCCATGACGCTATAATATGCGATGGCAAGTGTATAAATGCCGACACACTTCGACGCTTCTCAGTTATCCGCCGGCCGTTTGCCGCTATCAGTGCCAGTGTACGTCTTGCTGTAACCTGACCTTCAGTTTCCTGGCCACAAGACTGGCCGTATAAACGGTTTCATCTGCACATCGAGTCTGCTGCCTTGGTCCACGTCACAACCTCGTGACATGTTGTGGAGGTGTCATAGAGTAACATAAAAATTACAAGAATGGTTACTCGGGCCAAAACGTGGCTGAGCTACGCAGCTTCACTCCAGCCGTAAGATGGCAACATATCACTTAATGTTTCAAGTAAACACGCGTACTAGTTTATTGAGTTGAACTGACTTTATTTTTTCTGTTTATAACGGAAAGGAAGCAAAATCTAAAAGCCATGTGGCCTGACAAAGGCTTCTGCTCCTACAACAGTTCAGCACGCAGGCCGTACGTAGCACAAGTCAATACAAAATATACTGTACGGACATATTCCACTGAATAGTCACGAAAATAAAAGAACGTGTGCATAAAAAAGTAGAAAAGCGAGAATAAACCCATTATGTCTGCAAAGAACAACAAAATAGTGTTACATATACACTGTTAGGTCATTTTGCCACAGTCAACAACTAAAATTTGCAATTAAAACACGAGAATTGAAAAATCACAGAGCAGCTTTGTCAGACGAACTAAATATTCTAGTAAATGAGCAATGTTATGAATGATTCATTCGAGGCTTTCATAACTTCGTCGTGAGAAAATGTATTCCATTAAGCAGGGGAAGTGCTTGATAACTTTGTAACTGTTTTCCATAATTCGTTCTTATTTTTGGTGTTTTCAGATGGTGATGCTGAAAGCTGTAACACTGGTTAGTGGGCGCATCCGTGATAGAATGTGTCCTGTTTTGTTTGATATGTTGCATTACCTTTTAATGCTACAGCTGATTTGCCTTTAACATAGAGTACTTGATAAAAACAGGCTGTGTTTTGAAATTCTGTAAACGTCCGCGATATCCCTAAAAGCCCGCGGGTCTCTTTTTCGCAGCACAATCAGCTTCTTATAAGTTTTTGTGTGGCCGTGCCCCAGATAATAATGCAGTAGGTTAGTCGGGAGTAAAATAGTGCGTAATACAACGAAATTTTCAGCCAAGAAGGAACCAGAGTATTCAATCTGTATAAGCAACCAACAGTTTTACCTAATTGTGTTACAACTTCATCCACATGTGTGTTCCAGGCCAAATCTTCCTCAAACCAGACTGCTAGAAATTTTTGACATTTAACCTTTTCAATAAGACTGTCTTGAAAACCAAGACTCTCGTTGCAGTTACGGGGTTGATTAGTCGGGGCAAATATATATTTTGTTCTGGAAGCGTTCATTTGTAATTTGTTCAGTCGTAACCATGAAGAGAGTTGCCTCATATAGCAGTTCACCTTTGACTCGTGACCTGGAATAGTGGCAGCTTCGAAGAAAATGTTACTATCCTCTGCGTACTTAACTAATTTTGGTTACTCGGGGATATCACACAAGTCATTATTGAACATCAGAGGTCCAAGTATTGAACCTTGTGGGGCGCCCATAGGGATTTCCGCGTAAGAAGAACATCATTATTTATGCTGGGGTACTGATATCGCTTTGTTAGGTACTTACAATTTGTCTGAGTGCGTTACCCCGTATACCATACTTTTTAAGTTTATTAATTATTAAGTTGTGGCAAACCGAGTCAAATGTTTTTCAAGACCAACAGATAGACCTAATGTGTACATTCGATTTTGAATATTTCTTATAATTTCATGTTTAATATTAAGAGGAGCTCCTTCACAAGATTTTTTTTTGAAAACTGTACTTCATGTCACTGATTACATTCTACTTATTAAAGAATATCTGTAGTATAACGTTCAAGGAACTCTCAAAGACTTCCGATAAAACAGGTAAAACAGAAATGAGCCTGTAATTTGTCATAAGATGCCTATCCCCTCCTTTGTAGATTGAGCACACTCGTGCTCTTTTTTGTAGATCGAGAAATATACCACTTTCGAACATCCTGTTTATGATATGAACTAAAACGGGTGCGATATATGCGCAATATATTTAATTGGTGCTGGTTTAACAGTCATCATGACCAGCAGATACAACGTTCTTCACCTTGAAGAGTAGCTGAGTTACTTCAGCAGCTGTAACAGGTGTAAGTATAATTGAGATGAGGTAGCTTGGTACAGTTCACGATAGGTGTGGTCATATGTCCCTCCTTATCAGGATTCTGGGTGCAGAAAACAATCATTCAAAGCAGCTGCAGCCTTCATACCCGTCAACACTCCTGTGGGTGTTTTTAGGTTGATGTCAGTGCTCTTTGCCTTCATGGCATTGAGGCCTCTGACTTCATTCCTAACTTTTCTCGGGTAAGTCTTCATCTAACCAAATAATTGTGTGTAATACCTAATTTTGCCAGCTTCAGTTCAGCATTCACCTCATTTCAAAATTTCCTAAGGTGACTAAACAGATCAGCACTTCCGCATTTTACAAACCTGTGAAACAACTTGTTTTTCGTCGTTATCATTTTTAACAAATGGGGATTTATCCAACGTTTGCGTATCTTCCTGCTCTTTCGGTTGCGTGGTTTCAGCGGAAATGCTTCGTCATAACAGTGGATCATTTTTTTCCAAAGAACGAACCGCTACGCAGAATTTGGGTCTTGCGTGTCAAACACACATGACCGATTTCTTGACAGTATCAAGGAGTGCAAAGTTTCTAATGCTGTGGCATAAAAACTCTATGTTATATCATTTCCTTTCTCTCTTCCTCTCGCTCACGAACATAAAAAATGAAGCAGAATATAGGCAGACGATCGCTTATCTCAGCAGATAGCAATCCTGCAACGCAGTCGATCGGGTGTAAGTTATACATCTATCCAGTAACGTTTACTTCATTTACTATACAGTACCTTTTCTAGTGCATTATAGCCCCGCCACGGTGGTCTAGTGGCTAAGGTACTCGGCTGCTGACCCGCAGGTTGTGGGATCAAATCCCGGCTGTGGCGGCTGCATTTCCGATGGAGGTGGAAATGTTGTAGGCCCGTGTACTCAGATTTGGGTGCACGTTAAAGAACCCCAGGTGGTCAAAATTTCCGGAGCCCTCCACTACGGCGTCTCTCATAATCATATAGTGGTTTTGGGACGTTAAACCCCACACATCAAATCAATCAATCTAGTGCATTATACGTCTACATGTTCTTGCGTATGTGGTAGTAGTCTGAATACGTCTTTATTGTCTGCGATTGTGCGGTGTGATAACGTTGGGTTGGGATCAGGCATGAATCGGACGCAAGAGAAGTGCACAAGGCGTCGACGCGACGGCCACGGTGTCACGCTTTGTGTTCGTGAGCATTTGCGGCAATGAAGAAGTACGGGCAGCACCAGGGCGATGACATAAAATATGTGCGATAACGTGCATGGCGTGCGTCGTGGTCTTCGCTTGTTCCAGCTGCCTCTCAGCCTGGCTGCTGGTAGGTACAAACGCCATGAATAGTATGTTAAGTACGTATTGCATTCGTCATTGAAGCCTTAACCTAACATTTCTGGACATTGTGTTGTTTGGCGCAGAGGTCTTTCTTGTGCTCTTCGATTCGCGTACTGTTTTCATGGATTGGTTCACACGAAAGAAAACCTGTCTGGAATGCTTCATTGCACGTTTGCGAGAAATTTTTTTTTGGCTTAAGAAATGGAATCGCCGCTCGCGTTGTTAAATTTTCTTTGTGCCACTACATGTATTCCAACGCGCTGCATGAGTGAGATTTTGTGAAATGGGCAGCTATGCTGAGTATGAATTATCTGTGCCGTTCACTAATTGCTTGAAGCTCGAACTAACGCAATAAGAGAAGTGGTGATGCTAGAAAAACGTTTGCTAGCTGAAGCTAGGACGTCATCTTTGAGTGAACACTCCTGCCTCTTTAATGGCTTGCATGACGCCTAAAATTGCTTTGTTTTGGCTGCGGCAACTGCGTGTCGCTGTTTTTCGCGAAAAAGCGAAGTAAAGTGTGGAGGACAAAATTAGTGCGAAGGTTAGAAAGAAAACGTAGCCAACATATTTCTTTTCTTTTTTCGGTTCATGCCGGAGTCATGTGCTGAGGCAACTACTGACGTCACGTTGTGCACTGAATGTGCAGCTGCGTGCGTTTAGTGCAGTTTTATTCTGCTGCGGTTCTTGTTATATTGTAGTCTACATGTTCATTTCTTGTGTGTAATTTATAATTATGATGTGGCAGCTGTATTTTCACGCGTCGCAGTGCAATGAACCTTTTTGTGCCTGCGTTTATCAAACAATAACTAATTGGCATGTGCTTACCAAGAATATCACTTGAAAAAAAATTCTCGCTCCTGCCAATGATTCTCATGTTTTAATTAAATTGTGTGCGTAGACACACATTGACATTGTGTGCTTGTCGCTCTAGTGCTGCAGCTTACACGAAGCTCATCGATGCATGAAAACGATGCCCTAAAAAATTTAACTATAGCCTCAGAGATGGTCACGCACGTAGAAGTGGCTCGGCGGTTGTATAATATTCCTAGTCACTACAAACTGGTCTTCAAGACAGTATTTTCTGCGGTCTACCGTCTACAAGGCCGCAAAGTTTCACCACAACCGTTTGGTGCGCTGAGAACCCGAATCAGCCGCAGGGGCCTATGGAAGTGTCCTCTCTTCGCCTTTTATATTACTCTATGAAGGTGCTGCTTCTTTGATGTAATGGACGCCCCCGTCAGGCTGCCAACCCACCCCAAGCGGCGAAGAGGACGGCGACGCCGAACAGCGAGAAAGTCGCAGGCAGAGGTGACAGCGGCCAGAATACAGGCTCCTACTCGCAAAAACCAGACAGGCCCGATTAACGACATTGACAGCGCCAACGATGACAACCCCCGCACAGCCTGCCCCAATCGTTCTCGTGGCAGCCCTAGAAGCCACCAACCTTCCGCAGATCGTCAATCAAGGATTCGGGAAGCTGGCTTGAAGCATTCGATTGATTCGCCGCTTTCAACGCTTGGACCACCGAAGATAAGCTTCGACATGTGTACTTCACTTTGGAGAACGCAGCTTGTACCTGGTTTCCAAACCAAGAATGAACGCTGAAAACGTGGGAAATATTTTGCCCCAGGTCCCTCGCCACACTCACGAGCGTCATCCGTGAGGAGAGGGCCGAGGCCTTTCTCGAAACGCGCACCCAGTACCTAAACGAAAGCTTCGCAAGATTATCATGTTTGCCCCATTCATATGCCTTCGTCGTTCATTCACGTCACGTAATACCGAATTTGGTGCATGTGAAGTAGTGAAACGGCCGCGAGTGCGCAATGAGCGTGGCATGTAGTCATGTTCTTAAATGACACACACGTTATGATAATCGCATCTACTCTCGTCATATACTCGTCATATATACGGCGAGGGGGATCACATACGATCACCCTCACCGAACCTGTAACTCTTTCACCTTGAATGTACACACCTAAAGGTAAACGGCGAAGACTCTATCAGCTCTAAAGGTCACCGTTAAGGCTGATAGAGCCATATACCTTTAGAGCCTAATACCTTTATATTTAGATTGTAATCTTTGTGAATCAGCATGTCAGTCAGTCAGTCAGAAAGACGAGAATTCCCCCGCCAGGTGGTACCGTCTAGAAGGCCCCGCCCACGATGGCACCGGGAGGTTAAAGCTCTCGGCGACTTCGCAGGCTCTCTGGACAGCCCTCAGCTGCTGGTCCTTTGCGGAGCTGGTGATAAGCTGGAGCCAGTCTTCCTCAGTGGAGGGAGACCCTGAGCCCCCGTGCAAGTCGTGACAATGCCGCAGCATGTGCTGGAGGGTGCACCTCGAATGACCACAACGCGGGCAGCGTGGGTCTATTCCGTCTACGAATTTTGACCGAATAAACGGACATGGATACGTGTTTGTAACATTCGCAGGGTGATTGCCTGTGGTCTGTTTAGATGTGGGTGTGGAAGCGGAAACTTCCTACGCCCTAGCTAATAGTGCTTACAGACCTCGTTGAAAGTGAGAAGAGGGTCTCTTTGCCACTGCCCTCCCTCAGCCTCCGAGTGCCCACTTCCGGCGCGGTGTGTGAGACCTCACGTCTGGGAGTGTGCAAGTTCGTTGGCGTTTGGGATGGTTTCGTGAGCATCACTGCCCACATGACCAGGAAACCAAATTATATGCTTTTTGCCTGTCCAAGATGCAGCAGAGAGAACGCGCGCGGCTTCTTTGCACACCGAGCCTTTCATAAATGCTCTAGTGGCGGCTCGCGAGTCCGTGTAAATAGTAGACCGGTTCGTTGTGGCCATGGCGATGGCCACTGCCACCTGTTCGGTTTTGCGACAACCGAATTTTTGAGCGTAAGTGATGTCAGCAGCTCTCCCCTTAACGACATAGCTGCTGAAACAAAGTGATTGGAAGCTGCGTATTGCGCTGCGTCTACGAAGGCGACATTGTCCTCAATCGTAGCCGCTGTTTGAAGAAGAGCTCTGGCCCTTGCTTTGCGTCTGCCGCTGTTGTATTAGGGGTGCATGTTTCAAGGTACCTGAGATACCGTATACATTTCCCTGACTTTGATAGGGAGCGCGCACTCCCTCTGTCTGGCAATGGGAGACCGTATACCAATATGCGCTAGTAACTGTCGGCCAGCCTCCGTGGAAGCCAGTCTTGCAACTTGGGCGACCTGTTGTGCCTCTACTATTTCGCAGAAGGTGTTGTGGACACCCAGCGCCAATAGATGTTCAGTACTGGTGCTCTGTGAGAGACCCTTTACCTTTTTTTATGTTCTTGCGAATTATTGATTCTAATCGGGCTTCATCTCTCCTGCTGCACTTGTGGGCCAGGGCGACGTAGTTGATGTGGCTCCTTAGGAAGGCGTGAAAGAGTCTACGAAGGTTCTCCTCGGATAACCCCCCTCGTTTGTTGGCCACTCTCATGAATAACTTTGTCATGGAATTGGCTTTGGCGGCGATGCGTTCTAACGTGTAGGCGCTACTGCCATTCTCCTCCAGGAACATACTGAGGATTCTAACTTTCTTTACGATCGGAATAATAGAGCCGTTCGTTGTGGTGATCAAGATATTGGGGAAACTTTCTTTCTTTGCACCGATTCTTGGCCGGTAAAGGAGCAGTTCCGATTTATTAGCCGACAAGCAGAGTCCTGCCTTGTGAAGAAAATCTCCGACAACCCTGATCGCTGTTTGTAATCGCTCTTCAATTTGCCCATCACTACCTCCCTCGCACCAGACGGTGATGTCGTCAGCGTAGAAGGCGTGACCGAGACTTTCAATCTCGGCCAGACTGTGGGAAAGTGCTCTTAGCGATAAGTTAAATAAAAATGGGGATAGCACTGCCCCTTGTGGAGTGCCTCTGGGTCCAAGATCAAACGTCTTCGAGCCGAGAGATCCTAGGCGAATGGTAGCTTTTCTTTTCTTAAGAAATGAGCTGATGTAGTTGTAAAAATGTTCTCCTAGACCCGCTTCTTTAATGGAATGAAGTATATGAGAGTGTTTGACCTTGTCGAAGGCCTTTTCCAGGTCAAGTGCCAGAACAGCTCTGGTGTCTCTGGAGACCCTGCCAATGATCTTGTGTTTTAAACGCAACATTACATCCTGCGTTGACATAGACGGCCTGAATCCAATTAGAAAAAATTGGGAAGAGATTCCTTTCCTCAGCAAATTTAGTGGACCGCTTGAGGATAACGTGCTCGGCGACCTTCCCTACACATGAAGTGAGAGATATCAGCCGGAGCGAGCCAAGCTCCAGGGGTTCCCCGGCTTCGGAATGAGGATGACGGTCGCGTCGCGCCACTCTATTGGAACCTCGCCGGTCTCCCACACCTCGTTGATTTTATTCGTTAGAAGCTCGATATCCTCGTCAGGCAAATTCTTTAAGAGTTTGTTACTGATCCCATCGGGACCCGGAGCTGATCTGCCGTTGAGCTCATATAGAACCTCTCGTACCTCTGCGCACGTGAATGGGGAACTAAGAGGGTCTGTTCCGTTCTCTGGCAAAGCAGGAGGGTAGTCATTGTGTGTGGCGGGTTCTGTGCAAAGATATCTCGAGAGAGCTCATCGATAATTTGTGTCCCTGTCAGACCAGACTTCTTTAGGTTGTGGATAAGTCTGTCAATTGTAAGCTGCTGATTGGTTTTGGATTGTTTATCTCCCAGTAGATGTTTGAGGAGGTTCCACTTCGCACCACTCCTCATTTGCCCATCGACGGCATCGCATACTTCGTCCCATTGCTGTCGAGCTAGCGTTTCACTATGCTCATCTATCTGCCTATTAAGTTCAGGAATTTTTTTGCGTAGGCGTCGGTTTAGTTTCTGCGTTTTCCATTGAGCCTGCATCGCGTTTTTAGCCTCCAGAAGGTGGGCTAATTGACTGTTCATGCGCTCTATCTCTCTTTCTGTCTTCACTTCCTTTGTGGAAGCAGCAACGTCTCCTTTGAGGCGAGTGATTAATTCATCAGCATGTGAGCCTTTATAACTTGGGAAGATAAAAAACACAAAAACGACGACCCACGTAACCAATAGAAGAGAGGATCCATTTAGAAGGTATACTTAGAGAATACGTGGTTAAGAGTGCAGTCATCAGCAAGCTTTCCTCGAGTTTACTGGTCCTATTTCGGAGCCCGAGTACTGATGCGTGTAGCGTCTCAATAAAGCATTGTATGGTGCACAGCATTTTTTTGATGCCCATAATTTCAGGTCGTAAGTGACTCTCGGAACCTACTTCTTTGGTTTCTGTTTGAATCGCCCGTTTTTTTAAATGCGAAGCATTTCTTAGCGAACTTCGGCGACATTGAGCGTATCTATCTATCTATCTATCTATCTATCTATCTATCTATCTATCTATCTATCTATCTATCTATCTATCTATCTATCTATCTGTCTATCTATCTTTCTATCTATCTATCTATCTATCTATCTATCTATCTAATCTATCTATCTATCTATCCGCCTACGACTTTTAGCTCTCCTGGCCGTTTAGTTAATGGTATCGGGACCAAACTCGGTATGGCATAACATGACTGTATGAAAAACATGTTTGACAACATGAAAGTTATGATATATATGTCATGAATATTATGATTTACATTTCATGATCCTGCAGCTCTTGCGGTGGTTTCGTTCACATGACATGTTGCAAAACGGTGTGGTATCACATGAATGCCTGGCGAGCACAAGCGAGAGACGCTAACATAAAACTCATGATATTCGTGTCATGTAACATGACTAGATGCCCGCCCATGTAGTCATGTAACAACATGACCAATGTCACGCCCATGATGCACTCGTGGCCGTTTCGCTAGTGTCACATTTAGAAAAATTTGTATTATGGTACGTGAATGAATGACGAAGGCATGGGACTGGTGCAAACATGATAATCATGACATGCGTGTAATGTAACAACATGACTACATTCCACGCTCATGATGCGCTGGCAAACGTTTCGCTAGCTTCACTTGTACCAAATTTGTTATTGACGGACGCGGTGTGCGTGCTCGCCGGCATTCATTTCGTCGCGTCAAGCCGGCATTGCCACGCCATGTGCTGGTCCTGCCATATACTCGCAGGCGCGCTCCGCGTACGGTGCTTTGATGCGTGCGCGTTTCAGCACGTCCAGCGTCCCTCCGTGGAGAAAAGCGGGAGACGCAGTGTTGTCTGAGTAACGCATCAGCGCGAAATTCAGCATGTCGCATTTCGCGCCGGTTGCCGTCGAACCACGCCGACGGACGCTAGTCGCGCCTGGTGTCAGACTACAGAGTGCTCGCGTTTTGCTAAAGTAGCGTCGCTGTGCCCAGCGTGCGCTTGCGTCAACGCCAAATTGGAGTATATTGGGCCCCTTCATGATGCGCTCACGGCCGTTTTGGTAGCTCCACGTATGACATATTTGGTGTTACGTGACGTCATTAGATGACAAAATATATGACTGGTCTAAACATGATAATCCTGACACGCGTGTCATGTAAGAACATGAGAAAATATCACGCTCATAGCGTGCTCGTGGCCCTTTCGCTAGCTCCACATATACTAAATTTGGTATCACGGGATGTGAATAGATGAAGATGGTAAACGACACATGCAAACATGGTAATCATGACATGGAAGCCATGTACGGCATAATTTACCTGCACCTTGTAACTTTGTGCTAATTTTCAAGTGACATATATCAACCTTTCCCATTCATGCTTCGTATATGATCGGTTCGCACTGTACGTGGTATCTGCCATTTTTTCGTTTTTTTTTAGAGCTGGAGCGTCTGAGTCTGAAGCGCTCACGTCTGGAGCACTAGCCGGCCACCGAGTGGTGTTCGGTATGTTTGTTTTGTGCTGACACACACGCTCGCACCTGAGTTCTTGCATCTCAGCTTTTGGTCTAGCTCGCGCATCACCGCATTCTCTTCTCTTAACCAATGTTTCCACACATGAGCGTGTCTTCGTAAAATTTCCTACTGAAGAAAAGAACACAAAGGTATTTGACAAAGGCAATTTCACATGGTTAAAACCTTGTATTGATTTTTGATGAACAACGTTTTGTCAACCAAGGAAGTCAATTTCACAGTCCTGAAGATCCACACATCTGAATTTCATCTCAGCAAGTGGCCTTGTTTTCAGGAGATGTCTTTTCGCGAGTGTGTCGCTTATCTTATGCTACAGTTCGTGTTGAGAGGCAAGAAAAAAAATATTATATTTAGCACATAGCGGAAGCTTTAGTAATCTCGCAAAGTGCGCTCTATATTCATAAGTAACAAGCCCTTCTTGCCTGTCGAGCGTACGAAAAGGCGTCCTAGACTTTCACTTGCACTACAAAGCAGAATGCCGTAATTCTATTCCGGAATTGGATATGCCACATTGCTCGATTCGAGAGCTTCAGTTTTCTTCGGAGAGCACTTGCTGTATGCGTTCAGGTATTTTGAGGACTTCATTTGATTTCCCTACTTACACTCGAAAAATATTGTCACTGATACAACATGAGAGAAAGTGATGGTAGTTGTGAGTAGAAAGATGATAAAGTGCCGATCTAGTTATTGTTTTCTTCATTACGGAATGAAACATCTCGGTGAGCAAAAACGAAGGGTTGTTGTAGGCCAGCCAAGCTACGCAACCTTTTCTTGAATTGTATTCGTAAAAGAACTTGAATATTTATTTGGTGTTTAAAAAGGCAGCGTCGTAAGCCAGAAACAATTTAGTGTTTTTTGAAGAAAAATACTGCAGGGCATTTTGTCCGGGTTCTAATATTTATTGTCGGGTACATTCTAAATATTGTGCAATTATTATGGCATAGCATCATGAAATGCTTCAGGAATTTAGGACCACCTGAAACTGTTAATGTTCACGGTCTGAAACATTTTCTCTTCCTCCAGAGATCCCGCAACCTTTGAGTATGCAGTCAAGCACCACAATCTTGTGCTGGCTTCTTGCTTGGAGTCGATACTAATCCCTACAATCCTAGACCTGCATAGTGCATTTTGCTGGTTTTGACCTCAGGACATATTTATTTATTTATCTGGATACCCTAAGGAACCCGAGGACATTATATACACAGAGGGGGGGGGGATACGAAGAAACAAGAAACAAATACCCGCGCATGCGTTTTTTCTTTGTGTCCTGTCTTGTTGCGCAATTTTGTCAGATGTTCCCGTGACAACTTGCCAAACTTTCATTGCTTCTCTGCAGTAAACATTGTACTCGAGATACTAGGGCACTAGAAGCCATATCAGACAGCATACAGTGTTTGCTCTATGAAAACAACGTGGCACTGTGCACGTTCATGAATGTTTCTTGTGTGCGTGCCACAGCAAGCTTGAATTAGGAAGACAGGATAAGGAGCATGCATCGTGCGTGGTCTCTATTTGACTTTAAATAACTCGAAATACTCAGTGGTGAATGGTGAGTAGCTGTGTGGGTTTAACACAACAAAACAAACGGGTATAAATTCAGGAATGATTTAAGATAGAACAACTACCTGGTGATATTTGATCACAACAGGAAGGACTCGCTCCCTCCACCGATATGCACTTAAGTCCATGTGTCAGCGGTACCGATGATGGCGCTCAGCTTAGACAGCAGTGAATGCATGGTGTCAGATATGTGTTCCGCCGCAGCATGTCCCATTTGTTGACAATGGGAACGTGGCATTGCAAGATCCATATTGAGCTGAACAAAAGAGGAGCTCCTCTGCAGTACGTTTTTCCTTTTTTTTGCCTAAAAACTATACTGCGTTGTTTGCCTGGTTTACCAGTGTTTGTATACAAGAAAAAGAGTGCGTTAAGATTATTGAACGCTTTCGTGAAAACTACATCACATTTAGGAGCAGTTATCTAGTCCTGTGGTAACAAAATGTCCTCGTGAAGAGACACGTTCAGGCTTTGACCTCACTAAAACATTTCTAAAATTGCTCCGTTATGTTTTATCCTGTTAAGCCAGCGCAGCAGTACGACTCTTATTGTTGAGCGCTTTTCTTTGTTCAAAGTTAAACCAAGACAACGCGCAATGTATGCTAATTGTCGTGTCGTCCTGATACGAAGTGTACTGTGGTGCACACACAGTGAAAAATCATTCATGAACGCACGCAGCACCATGGCCATTC